CCGAGAACTTTTGAAAACAATTCCCAGCCGTCGGGGTTGAAATTCGTCCTTTGACGTGGAGACTCATTCACCAAATCAACTATATTTGTGCTAGGAACCGGTCTTCCTTTGAACACCATCTGGCCTTGTTCATTCCAACCAACAAGATCATTATTTGACTTGAGTTTTTTGATGAGTTGTCGAGCTCTTGACTTCATAGTAGCTGGTACACTGTCCATGATATCTGTTTCAATCTCGTCTGAAGGTTCCGTCTCTTCACTCGGCTGATCTCCTTGAGATTCTTCAGGTTTATCGGTGTGCGTCACGTTTACTCGGAGAGGTTTATTCATTCGTTTATCATAAAAGGTTAAATAGCGTTGTAGATTCTGGTCGTATAACTTTGCCTTTTCATCAATTGGTATATCTTGTCGTCGAATAATATCCTGCATGTCCGAGTCTATTTCGTTGACCTGTGTCGCCAAAGGCGCCGCGAGAGGTTTCTTTCGCTGTTCAGCCATATGTTCAGGGACAAGTACTAATCGCTTGACGTGTTCCATTATAAAAAGTTAGACAACTGTTCCAAAACTGAAGTGAGTAGAAATGGTAGGAAACCCTCCCCTTTTTGGACTAAACGGGTTCTTCTCTTTACGATAGGATTTCGTTTGTCAGCCGCAAACTTTATATGCTTGGAATGTGGTGCGAGTTTTCTAGCTGTTTTCGGTTTCAGTTTAATCGTGTCAAACCAAACGTTTAATAGACACTGTCTTATAGCTTCAAACAGATCGTCTTCAGCCGCTTTCAAAATAGCTTTTCTCAGTTCAGGTTTACACTTGGCCAATACTTTCAGAAGTTCGGAGTTCCTCTTCATACAAGCAGACATGATCAAATGAACATTTTACACACGTTCCCACATTTTTATACTCTGGGCTGATAGACATAATGCGTGTCGGTTGGAAAGATCCCGGATCGAATCCGTATCTCGTCAGGACATGTAGGAGTTAAGTCGACAAATAGATAAGAATAAGGTTCTTTCGTTGCCAATTGATAAGCTTGTTGGAAATACTTCGTTTGACTTGGGTATAGCTGTTTAGCGAGATGAGTAACTTGACTTGCATCGCGAACATTTTTTGTTAAACATAAATAACTTGCATTGAGAGATATTGTGCGATGCTCTTTGCTCTGGTGAAACAAGTTTTGCACAATGTAGATTACGCTTAGATTACCATGGTGCGATTTTTTCGTGAACAATTTAGAAATCACTCCGTCCTTCTCACCCATCATATCGTCAATAATGAACAAATTGCGTGTTTCTGGATTGATACTATCCATTATATTATCCGGCAAGCCTTGTATGAATTTTATACCAGGCACTAAATTTTGTATTTCTCCAAACGCATCTTGATATTCGGCATAGAAGTAAATAATATTTTCAGGCGTTGGATCAATCAGCACATTGGCATAGCTGAGAAGCTTTTTCACAAAGGTGGTTTTGCCTGATTTTGTACCGCCAGAAACGAGAAGCCCAAATGGGTGTCTTAACTGTATGGAGTACATGATGAAAATGAAAGCAGATACTTTTCGATCAGTCTATTTATCTTTTGCAACTCGATCAATACCGTTGCTTTATCAATAGGCATTTTCTTAGCACGAATAAGGTATGGTTGTCTCTCTTGAGTAGATAGTTTATGAACATTGGTTAAATGATGATTAGATAATTTTAATAAACCTTTCTTTCCGCACACGGGACAGACCTTACGCGTTCGAGGCATGCTATCAAATGAATGTTTCCGAGCATACCACCACCTAAATAGTCCCTTCGGGGACTAATTTTTGTCCCCGGATGTCCCCGGCACAGACGAATGTGCCCATGGGGACATAATTAATAGCAGTAGTCCCTATTATAGCCGATTGTCCCTCTACAGATAGTCCCTTTGGGGACTAATTTTTGTCCCCGGATGTCCCTGGCACAGACGAATGTGCCCATGGGGACATATTTACCAGCAGTAGTCCCTATTATAGCCGATTGTCCCTCTACAGATAGTCCCTTTGGGGACTAATTTGTGTCCCCAGATGTCCCCGATACAGACGAATGCGCCCATGGGGACATAATTACCAGCAGTAGTCCCTATTATAGCCGATTGTCCCTTTAGAAAGGCCCTCCGGGGACTAATTTTTGTCCCCGGATGTCCCCGACACAGACGAAGGCCCCCATCCCTATTATAGCCGATTGTCCCTTTAGAAAGGCCCTCCGGGGACTAATTTTTGTCCCTGGATGTCCCCGGCACAGATGAAGGTCCCCATGGAAACATAATTACCGATATTAAACCCTAATAAAAACGAATGTTCCTCTAGGGAAAAAAATCCCCTAAAAATCCCTGCAGTTGTACCATTACACACACATAACTTTTATGTTTGAAATCATTTATTAATTTAAAAACCATAAGGCAATGTATCAAAATTATTTACAATCACACGTTTATTATATACAATACGATAGTCCTTGTTCTCACTCCTCGTCTTTACACTTTTCTCTTTAGTGTCTCTATTTATTTTGTAGGGTATATTTACAGTTACTCTCTCGGGACCTTCACCCCTGACCATGTCAGACATGACGTCAAAGTTGACATGTTGTTGGGTCCTGTAGTTTAAGGTGACCCCTCTAACTTTGCATAATGTTTTGTCTGTGCTTGTCTCATAGGCATAGTTTTTAGGACCTCCAGACACAAAGGTGGTAATTGGCCCAGGCCAGCAAAATTACGTCATAGTTTTGCATGCTAATTACTTTCGAGCAACGTGACGTCATTGACGGCATCCCTTTGAACTCCAGAGTGGGGTCTATCACTACTTGAGAGAGGATATGAGAAAGCAGGCAGATGCAGCTTTTTCAACAAGGTTGACTTTTTACTAATGATCAAAAGGGCCATGAGAATCTTGTTTCACTACTGGGGCAAACAAAGGGCCTACTGGGGTAAATGCCCCAGTAATTATATAGTTAAAAAATGCCCTGCCGAGCAGGCGCACAAAAAAGTGGGTACACTAGTTATAACTCTGTATATGAATCTACTCTCTGTCAGCATTAAGTTCAGTTTTACGTCTTCAATTGTGGTTATCATTGTAGGAAAACTCAAACATTTCAGTTATTCCTTCCAGGCAATCTTTCTGGAGAGCTTATTAACATAAGAAATAGTTTGAAAATTACGCCTTTCTTCGAGATTATTCCAGCTTAATTTACAAAGAACATATTGCCGCTCAACTCTTGCTGCTCTATTTTGAAGCCGCTGAACTTTATATAGTTTTTAGTGTTTGGCTACAATGATTCGGCAAGTGGTGCCTAAATTACTTTGAAGTTGCACTTGAGTAAAAATACAAGTAATTAACAGTAAAACGACTTGTATACTTGAAGTAAAAAGTAAAAGTACTATAATTGTCTATAGCGGGTTAGGGGGAACTTCTCAATTCTCCAATGGATTGACTTACAAAAGACACAAAACACCACACGTAATGCACAATATTTCACGGCATGATCCAATTTCCAGACACCGTTGCAAAGATATAAGAAAGCCATTAAATAAATAATGCTTATAAGTACGCCACAAACGAGAGATCTCAGACTCATGTAGAGGTCTTATCAAAATAAAATAAATCAGGAATATAATTAAATTAAAATAAATCAGGAATAAATCACGTAAAATTAAATAAAAGTAAGAAAATAACGAAATACTTCACCACAAAATGAAAAAACGAAGTAAAACGTTACTTCATGAAACGACTTCGTTCCAAGTAAAAGTACTCGCTACTACTCTTTTACATGCTGACTTCTCAAAAATAGTACTCAAGTACAGTAACGAAGTACATTTACTTCGTTACTTGACACCACAGATTATTCCAAACAAACTTTAACTGACATATTTTTTTAGCTCCGCCAATGACTCCTATTGCCCTTGACACCTAATCACTAATGCTCTGATCTTAATGCTCAGATTGGCAATATTCTCGATATATAAATATTCTCAATATTCCTGTAAACTATTTCCAACAGTTAAATAATTTCCGAATCCCAAATAAATTCCCCTTACACCAATCAAACATTACTATAGCTTCGATTCTTGGAAGATATGCGCGGGCTGGCTTTGTGGTAACGATCCCTCGAGTTGAGTGCGCATGCGATCAGTCCGCTGACTCCACATTTGGTGTATGCGAACGCGCGCGTTAGTTTGTTTCACGGCGTAACGATAAATATCTGCGCGGACCAGGCGTACCTCGTTAAGCTCTGGCCTGAACAGGATGACGAATATTTTTGGTGCAAACATGCACACCACGAAATCTAGGGCTGTCGCCAGGATCGCAACGCATATATATGTTGAGAAGTGACTTATTATACTCCCGGAGAATACGATTAAGAACAAAAGCCATATAACAGAAAAGGTGAACATAGCAAAGCTGATCAACCGTGCTTCCTTGAAGTTTGCAGGAAGGGATCGAGCACGAAATGCCATTACAGCACAGATTAATGCCAACAACCAATTGTACAACAGTACAGCGGTGTGCAGATCTTTCGCTGATGCGCCACAGTCTATTGGAACAGAGGCATCTTCGACAACCGTATTAACTTGTATCGGCCTTCGATCTAGGAACAAAGCTATTAGTATAACCTCTAAAGCTACCATCACAATCACCATCTTAACCGTAACCAAGGGTTGGTCCTTTAGATTTGCCACAATGTTGTTAAAAATTTGAATCAGTCTGAATGTTTTGGTCAGGATCAACGAACTTGCTAGAGTCATTAGAAGCCCAAAAGCGATTGGTTGAATATGACACATTGCTATATTTGGTCGGCCGATGTACAGCAAAGGTAATGCAAACATTATCGCAATAGACACGAGTAAAACTAAAGACGGATATCTCGAGGCGGCTTTGACTATCGGGGTCTTACGGTATTTGAAGTAGACTCCGAACATAAAGCTAGTCACCAGGACACCACATAGAGACAGCGACACCAAAATAACCGACGTTACTGAATCCCAGCGGATGAACTCTTCCGGTATGCGCATGCATCGTGTTCGGTTGGAATCTGGGATAAACCCTTCATGGCAGGAATCGCATTCTTGGTTCCCTATTCCGATTTTAAATTGTCCAGGAGGGCAAAGTACGCATTTCCAGCAACACGACACGTCGCCTTTCACGGAGGAATGTCCCGGGGGGCAAGGAGATGAGCATCTTGATATGGGGGTGGTGTTTCGTCCGCCGTTCCAATAGATTGGCCTGGTTATATGCAGTTGACCATTTGACCAACTTCCCACAAGGACGAATCTTTTTCCGTTCTTGGCAGTCGAGTCTGGTTGAAGGTTGCTTATATGGTAGTGGATGACTGAAAATAGTAAAAGAAATTGATAAAGGTCATAAAGCAATGACAAGGAACATCATGGATAGTTAAAATATAGTTATTATAGTGTTCAGTGTTTTTATATCCATGGAAAGATATTACATATTTTCGGAAGTCATATTTAATTTCGGCTCAGTGGTTAGTATACACATGTAGTATATCTTTAACTCTGTGACCGGGAGATCGATTTCTACAATATGAAGATGTCTGCATAAACTTTCATCTCAGTCGCATGTGAGAAGACTGCTTCCAGTTTGAATTTAAAAAACACCACAAGTTTTGATTCTTCTGGTAGTAGCACTATCTAGTGTTTGAAACTAGTAAGAATGGACCAATAACAGATTAGAGAGAACCCACTGTCAGGCTAAATAACAGGTGATCCTTACGGGACCTCTAGGAAGAACAATTTAGAAATTGTGGAGCTATCCATGCAGTATAAATAAGAGTTAGATACCTCCAGGATTTCCATGTTTATCATAATTGATTAATCTTTCACCAATTCCAGTAGTATTAACCTTCAACATGAACTCTTTCAACTTTTCCAAATCAATGTCCTTCAAACAATCTGCGCCATCCGTCTTACCACACTTCATATACTCTAACAAACCTAGGACCACCGTATAGACTGCGTCAATTGCATAAGAAGCTTGATCCTTCTGCATTGTAGTGGCGTTCAGCGATGGATCTATTTTACCATCCTTATTCCCAACTGTACAACTCTTCGCGCGAAAATATTCTATTAACCACGGGTTATTGGTGGTATTAGGATTAAGATTATCTAGATGTTTTTCGAACAGTTCCAAACGGGCATCATGGGCGACCACACCCAACACTCCACCTACAGTGGAAATATCGAAATTGTAAATCCTTTCATTGAATCCCCAACTCTCGCTTGCAATCCACGTTTTGCCAGTCATGCCTTGTTTTTGAGCTTCAGTTAAAACTGCAACAGCCTGAGGCCAGTCACAGAATAATACTATAACATTAGTTTTCGTGTCCACCTTTAACTCACTGACTATATATTTGATATCTCTCTTAGAATCGTCAGAGATAGTGTTAAAATGGAATTGTAGTTGTGTTGGGATGCATATGTTTCTGTTCCTCGCTTCTTCGTGAAAACCTTGTACACCCAGATGGCCATAGACTTCGTCTGAGGCGACTGTCGCTACGTAAGACCAACCATAATTCTTGACTATGTCCGCCATTGCTCGGGCTTGGAAGTTGTCTGGTGGTATGGTACGAAGGAATGTTCTATGGTTTTGAAAGTAGAGAATAGTCGTTAGTGACAATACAGCCTTCAGGAAAGTGTTAAGTTTTGGAGAGAGAGGCTAGAACCTCGTTTTCGTGATTGAGATATTGGATATTGAATGGTGAATACAGGTGGCACATTTACGAAGCCATGAAGTTACATCAGTGAATATGAAAGATCTACTTACAATTATATCACCAGTAACAGGAATTTAGGGCTTTAAAACAAATTTCTCAATTACAGAAACGAGGCTCCATAGCCACAGCTAAGTACTTTCCGGAAGGGTGTATTGGTGGGTTAATTTCGGTAAAGCGTTACAAGGCAGCAGATATATCCGCAATAACGAGGATCAATTCTAAATATGATGATCATATGATTATCTCGATAATGATAATTACGATTATGTGAATTAAAAATGATACAGTAAAAACCTGCATAAAAGAACCAGTAGCTTAATTTTTTTCGTATGAAATTTTTTTCCTCATAAATTTGCCAAAACTAGTGTCGATCGATTATATAAGAAAAAGATAAGAATCACATCAGCCTGACATAAAAAATAGTGGTTGTTTTATGCGGGTTTTTACTCTACTGAAATTTTCTCGTCCTGCATAACTTACCGATTCGATGCTGAACTTACCGATTATCTAAATAGGGATCTCAAAAATATATAAGTGCATGACTAGAAAGAAACAAATTACAAACTCATTTCAACCATTAGAAGATGAGATTGCAAATTTCCTCCTGCCAGCTTTAGTTGATCACAAGTGCTCCCCACTCGAGCGCGTGACATTCTGTCCTTACCAGTTAATGTTATTGGATTGGCAAACTGAACTCATGCAATGAAACACCATTTTGTGTCAAAAAAGTATTTAGGATTTAGGAGGATTAATGTCAAATTAAAAAGGTACCAACCACTACTCTTAGGGGATGTTTTATAATATTACTATTGTTAGCTAAATGTTTGTGTGGATTGTGGAATCGTATATACTGTACAGGTATAATACGCACCTGTATTTCGTCTTATTACTCAATGAAACACTGGTACTCGAGTAACTAATTTGTGGTAATGACGAGGCACCCACGATAGTATTCACGCGTTGAGAGATTTCTGAACGTGCGCCACCAATTAACGCGACCACATAAGGCTGGGTCGTGTTTTCGAAACACTCGCATTCGCGTAAACTGTTGCTCGCTTTAGGCCTTTTTCGGAGCGTCGTGAAATCCAGGGCTGCGTCTAGGGCCACATCGGCGTTATTGACTGAATCCCGGATGTCATAACCTAGGGTTATATTTGTACCTGTAATGATAACATGCAGATAGTTTAATGAATTAGCACTACTTGCGCATGGGCATGATGGGTCTCAGTCAGCATTACGGCGTAGCAGCTGGTGGTCATTGGTCAACTACCGAAATGCAGTGATGACACTTATAGCTAGGAGCGAGAAAATTAGACTACATCTCTAAATTCTACTTATTCGCCACTAAATACAACACTACTAATACATACAGGGAAAGGGATTAACATTATTTTCTCACTCTGATAACAGCAGTTTGTCCTTCCTTTTCGTATAAATATATAAATTGTGTATAGTCATAGTCGATAATCTTGATCAGGACGCTACATACCATTTAACAAGAACTGATTTGAAGCTAAAACAGAAAATCGTATGGCCTCACTCCACATGACTCCCCGACTATTTAGCTTATAGCATTTTATGCTGCCATCCCAGCAGCGGATGTACGAGAACCCCGGATGGTGGATTTCGCACAACGTATCGTTGGATTCCCTGACGTGAACGGGAACGAAACAGCCTATGCGAACGTCCCCAGAATTACTGACCAAACGTTTTGGAGGCTGAATGTCGCCGTCGATGAGGAGTTTGGTTGAAGTTTGCGTTAGGAAGAGCAGGAACAATGGAACGATGTTTAATATTTTCACTTTTGAGAATTGTAGACGCAGTTGTATCCTGAAATAAGAGAACGAAAAGTCAACAAAACGGCTATATATACTCCTATCTTCAAGGAGTCCAGAATTTCGCAGCACGAGTAGTGACGAATACAAGAAAGTTTGACCACATCACCCCCATTCTAAAGGAAATACAGTGGCTTCCCGTGAAATTGCATCTCTACTATCGTGATGCCCTACTGCATGGCCTTCAAATGCATGAACAATTGCATGTGCCCCGGGCATCTACTTGTCGTCACAGTTCATAACCAGAGGTGAAGTGAGCTCTCGTGAGACACGAAATGTAAGAAATCTGGATGTTCCATTGTACAAAACAGCTACTGGACAAAGAACATTCCATTATCGAACTGTCACTCTTTGGAACAACATATGACTTAAGTCGCGATCGGTGCAATTCTATTTGAAACTTTAAGTTAAAACCAAGACATAAACTTCCCCAACAATTCCTGGATAGTTATTATGTAATTGTTTTTCAGTAGTTAATCAATAAGCGTTGTCGATGTCACTGTTGTTGTGTTATCGTCATTCTTGTTGTTGTCGTTGTCGTTGTCGTTGTCTCGTTGTCGTTGTCGTTGTTGATGATGATGATGTCCCTGTCGTAGTTTTTGTGAAATTGTCCTTGTTTGCTAGTAATGTGTTTCAATAAAATTAATTAGGACTAAATGTAGCAATAATACAGTAAGTTTATTTGTTTGTGATTTTTGTCACTGAAAAGCCCCTTCAGGGGAGTGTCAATAATGTCAATAATCAAATAATCAATATAAACTCGATCTGATCGCAAAATTAGTATATTACTTGGACTTCTTTTATGCGAGGCCGGACAAATTCCGAACCGCGGTTAAATTAGGACCCCATGGTTGTCACACCGAGGCAATTTTTGGTGCAACTTGCAACGAAATTTCTGATACAGAACGATGTTATCTTAAAAGTATTCATATAGAAAAATGTGAGCATCGGTTGCATTTTAATTCGGCTCTACCATCACTTTTTTACATTGCCTGTATAAATAGTCTAAATAGAGTTACTTATTTAGTTTAGTTTAGGTTTCTTCCCGACCGTAGCAACACTGGACCAATAATTCCAATGCCTCTTACTTGAACGCTTTAGAGAACAGTTTGGATTAATTCGTTGATATAATTTATAAGTTAGTTCTTTAGTTCAAAATACAAGAACTCTCGTCCAATTTGGAAAAACAAACACTCAAATTTTGAGGGCGGGCTCAAACTGAAAAATATGTGACAAGGGGCGACCCCATTTTTTTAATTCTTTCCGGCTCATTTTCAATCTCTCGCCTTTATCGTATCCCACAAAATATTTCACCCTTTTTATTCCTATAATCAGGCGTAGTTTCCATACGGTTCATTGCGTATATGCAGTTCACCATAGAAGTCGGAGTATACAAGCATAGCAACCATTTTGAATACTGGTCCACTAATTTTTAGGTTACACAATGTCTTACACCAGTACTTGTCCCATTTACCTATTTTACACCAAATAATGTAACGAATTAAATGTGGGGGGTCCTAAATTTTCTAGATGAAGGTGGGGGCGTCTTGAAAATAAAGGTCTTGCGATTGAAGCGGCTCTAAAAAAGTCCAATATTTGGTATTTATCACCCACCGCCTCCCCCTCCTATTATTAATGACCGGTCCCTAAATGACAACAGACTACAAAAGCGAAAGTGAGAAGGTTCTCGTCTCGTATTTTGACTGCTCTTACTGGATCATTTGAAAGAAAAGTTTATAACTGCTAGTGTTATCCAAATAAAATTGAAACAAGCTTTCCCTATAAAGCCTTTAAAGTAATCGGCGGAAACGTATACATCGAGTAACAATACTCGTATGATTTTGACTCAGGATAATTGTCTATGCCCAAGTCAAGTGTTTTGTTACAAAACAGCGAGCGGTAGAAACGGGGAAATTGTAACCAATTTGGTAATGAGCAAAATACCTCCGCTATATAGAATGGATTAATGCTATACATACCAAGGACCAAACATGATCAACAAGCTTTCGCTGGTATAGGCGTGCAACTACCTGAAAAATATAAGGAGAATTTCGGTTATCTTTTCATGTCACGCAATCACAAAACCTAATCCAATCCCTAACCTCCTAACCAATCATATTTCGTGACTGCGTGCGTGACATGAAAATGTAGAATTTCGACGTTTCCAGCGAAGGAAAAGCGAAGATCCGTCGTCTGGAGCATGGGTGTACGGGAGATAAAAAATTAGGGGGGCGGAAGGAAATTTACTTGACCATTGTGCCCGACTTACTGAAAACTTACCATAATTGTTGACGGAGGGGGGAGGTCGACGAAAATATTTTCCTACTCTGTTAAAATTCCTCGTTACTTTTACACAATTCTCGTATTTTCAAAAACTATATTGCATATGTCTTCTTTTTAAAGTTCAGTATTTCCCCCAAGTTTTGCTTGACTTACGTTTTGAGTGGGGAGGGGGCCATTCCCCCGCCAGCCACGTACGTCTATGCCGGTACTGTGGAGTTACTAAACATGATCAGTATTCCTCTAACAAGAGCTTTAATGCTATACTTACCAAGGAACAAATAGTTTCCTAATATCAAGACTGACTGGTAATTAGCGGAAGATCTCCTGACTGAAGGCTGCTTGGCCTTTAAATTTGGTTGCAATGCCGTCAGTGACAAAAGTAAAACCAGCCGCCGACGGTAGTATATTGCTGCTTGCGGTAGCCAGTTGTCAGTAGATCTAGAAACTACAACTACAAAATTTCTTTGCATTAAACCTTTTTTTAAAAATTGACCTTGTGCCTACTGCCATAAAACTATAAATTCTCGCTAACAGGAGAAATCAGCTGAAATTATTGATGGCGGCACAGAAAAAATCACTGCAAGATTTACAAGCGATGACGGCATGGGCGTGCGGGAAGGAAAAAATTAGAGGGGCGGAAAGAAATTTGACCGACTTTTTCGGATTGTACCCGCGTTGCCAATGAAAAATTTCCGGAGAAACTTTCCAAAATTGTTGTCGACGGGGGGAGGGGAGGAGTGATTACGAAAAATTCCTATTAGATAGCATATTTCCCACAAAATTGACAGAATTTCCCACAAAATTGACAGAATTTGTCCCATTTATTTTTATAATAAGCCAATATTGCCCGACTGTGAAGCGAATATTGCCCGACTGGCTTTGTTTGCCCAACAAACTGCTCGTAAACTGTTGTACTTCATGATATAACTGTATAATTGAAAATTACTTCGTCAGTCTACGGTGTAAAGCGAAATAGTAAGCAATAGTGTCTTATTTTCCGTTACCCCTTTCCACCCTCTTTACGTGGCATGTTGGTGAGCAGTGAGCGCCAACGTCATCAAAGCACTGATGGGCTCTGGTAAGCCGGTTTTCAAAGGCGGAATTTTGCTAGCGCGGAGCGGAAATTTTCTTTGTCTTTGCTATTAATTCCGCTCAGCGCGAAAAATTCCGCATGGAAAACCGGCTTACAGCATAAAACCGCCAGTTAGTTTAGTTCCATGAAGTTTGTGATGTTACTCTGAGTGTGCATCCACACCACGCAAGCTGAAAAGTTTGCCTCACCACGGTGGGAATCGAACCCGCGAACTGAGCTACGAGGTCAGGTCAAGTCGGTTCGAGTTGGTGATATTTCGGAACTGATTCTAGTTCCTTCGATATCAATGTATTCTAAGATACGACATTTTTTGTGTGTGTTGGTGTCGTGTACAGAGCTAGACTCAGTGAGTCAGTTCCGAAATATCACAAACTCGAACCGACTTGACATCGTAGCTCAGTTGGCAGAGCATTGGACTAGTATCCCAAAGGTCGCGGGTACGATTCCCACCGTGGTCAGGCAAATTTCTCAGCTTGGTCGGTGTGAATGCACACTCAGAGTAACATCAATATTCACCTGAGTAGTACCAACACGCACAAAAAATAGTTCCATGAAATTTACATGAAGTATTCCAATTACGCTGCTCTGCATTTCGCAGGCGCGCAGAACAAGTATGGTTGCCAACAACAAAAACAAAGATAATCAGAAATGGGACAAGTTGAAACATTCCTACGTAACTTGGAGAAATCATGGTAAGAAAAAGGAGTTATCTTTAATATTTGGTTTTAAAACAAAACATTCAGTACGTTGTAATGAGTCGTTGTTTTCTGTTCAATGTAGACCTCTGGCGGCAAGAAGAATATCACTGTAGCTGTGCGATGCCGTCCCTTTAATGGCGAGTATATATACTGAATGTTATAAAATAATAGAAATAATTTACAGATTTTCACCTAATCATTCAACATTTCGCCAATAAAAACACCGATTTTAGAGCTATTAATTCATCCCGTAGTAACAATTATTACACGATACGACTATTGTATACGATTCTTGTCCTGGCGTATTACGTTCAGTCAATTCCAGCAGGTCCATCCCCCCCGGGTCAGGGTGCATTTTAAGTGGCCCACGCCGAAGATCTTCGGCGTGAGTTTGGCAAATTACAATACTATCTATAGTTAATATTGGCGTATCTTCGGCGTAGACTTTGCATGGAATGCACCCTGGCCCCCGGGGTATTAGCCATTTCCCCACCCCAGGGAAAGAAGAACTGTGCCCCAGCCCTTGGCAAAAGAATTGGGTTTATACCCCCAGGCAGTAATATTGACTTTTTAGTACAAGTTGATTTGCATGTTATAATTCTATGGACACTATAAAAGCAAAGTAGAAAATAGAAGTTCTACAAAGAGAATAAAAATGCTTTTATATTAATGCAACAGTTTAAATTCTCAACCCTAACTTCAGCACATCTAGCTATCTCTATGAAAATAATGTGAACCTTTCAATATTATCTTTACTTAAAGATGCTGTAAAGTCGGCTCTGCGCATAGGTTCTGCTCATAACAAAGGGGGACCCGCCGCAGATATAAACATTACCCATTTTGCATCTTGAACTTTTTGAATTGAATTGAATTGAATTGAAATTGAAACGTAGACTTTATATTCATTTACATGCATAGCGAACCAGAAAAGTGTTAGGTCATTGTTCATTTAAGGAGAAAACTATTTCATGTACTGTAGTCAAAGGATTTTACTCATCAATGATCAAAAACATTGGTACTGAAAGGCCATCCCAAAGAATG